GGAAAGCTACCCCTGGACAAGCTGTGGCTCTGTCCCACACCCACCCCTCCCCACCCCAGCTGGACAGTACCTGCCCCAGCCCCAACCCCACTCCCTCCCTCATCCGCAGGGACCTCGATCTACCCCCCTCCCCACATCCCTTCCTTTTCCCTTTCACCACAACAGACTTACCAGCTGGACGCTGCTCTTCAAGCTGCCAGGCTGCGTTTCAGAAATTGGATTGGTATTAGCCAATATTCCTCCTTAAAAAATCAGTTATCAGTATCAGCCCCAAAAATCTCTAATGATGCACCCCTAGCCTAAATGAAAAGACTCACCAAAGTCCAACCAGATGTTGGGTGTTCCAAATCATCAAGAGAGATGGTCAGTTTCTAGACCCAGTTTCTAGTTTCCTGTGTCAGCAAGGGCTGAAAATAGCCAGAAAGTATTGTACTCCCTGATGTAGGTAGGAGGGAATGTCTTTTGTCATTCTATAGTAAGTTATTTGGGTTGGGAGTTCAAGGCCCTATCTTTATTAACATAAAATATGTACCTAAAGGCAGGTAAGGCAATTAAAGTGTTGGGTTATATTCACTGATCATTACAAGTCGCTCACAACTGTCTTATAAACAAATTTATAAAAGCATCATACAAACTGGCCATGCAGACTGCTGTGGTGATTCAGCACAGGTCTGATTCAGCTGTGTACCGATTAAAAGGACAGTTTATTTGACATGAGGCTTTGAAACTAGCAATGGGGAATAGTATTGGGAAAACAAACGGGGTGAAGGGAAGGGAGGGATATAGAGAGCATCATCAGCATCTAAGTCATAAAGGGAGATCCCTACTCTTCTTCACCCAAAGAGAAAATTTTAGTATTAGACTGAAAAGTCTGTCTAGTATAAAAATGTCAGATTTTTATTTTGCCATATAGCAAGTGATTATATGATTTAAAAAAAACAAACACAGGCTAGGGCATAGTGCTCTGAAGTATGAGATGTAGTTAGCCATGTTGGTCTGAAGTCAAATTGAAGGCAGAATAGATTTGTACCTTATAGACTAATCAAAGTTGACATGTATAGCACAAACTACAACTCACTTGTATATCTACTTAGGTTAGTCTATATAAGATGCAAATCTACCCTGCTCTGAAGTACTATCAGCAGTACCTAAGTCAACAGTATTATAGGATTCCATATAGCACCCATAGTCCAATAGCATTTATGGGACCAAGTTAAAGGGCACTCAACACCAAGCTAAAGGTCACTAAAATCTCCCTTGTCATCCATTGCAAAGGACAATTTGTATATTTATAGAAGTTACAACACACCTCAATTCAATTAAGCCAATGAGTTATATATCCCTGCAATTCTTCAACCTTCAAATCTAGTGTGGAGATCCCAGAAGTGAGGGACAAGTGATTAGTCCATTAACTTTAGCCATATCTTCCTGTATATTAATTTTTTTCTACGAAGCAGGTGCATAATTTACTTTGAAGCACTTAATGTCATTGACAGGCCCAAAAGTACCTGAAATCACTGTTCGTCAACTAATCTTAGCCTTGGCACTGCAGGTATAGCAGGTAGGTGCCATCAAAAGGAAGGGGGAAAAATAGAAAAATCAAAGAATGCCATACGATCTACTGCTCTATTATTTTAAAAGTGACTATCAGGGCTTGCGCATTAATTTACACTCACTGTGACTAATTCTTTAAATTGGTGTTGGGAGGTAACACCCATGGCCTGGTCTACCTCCACAACATGGAAACAACCAAGGAGGGCTGTGACTGATACCACTATGGCCTTTTTCTGTGTTTTTTCCATCAAGGGTGGCTTTATATGTGACCAAGGGTCCACAGGAATTCTGTCAGGGGTGGCTACTGAATCAATGGATCTCCCACCTCCCCTACCGTTGTCTTTGCTTCAGCCATTCCCAAGGGAGACTTTCTGTAGTTGAAAGCCTGAAGCAGGGTCACAAGCTGCGGAAAATCTGATCACTGCTGGGCTTTGAAGTCACTGGACCTGAGTTAAGCAGCTAAATTGCATGGGAATTTCATTAATTTATATCAGGGATAAATTTGGCCCTTTGGCTAATTTGAGTCCCACAAAAATCTGATAAAGTGATTAAGTTATTGTTAGCACCAGTTCACAGACAAGAAACAGAGATGGAAAACATTAAGTGGTTTGCTCTGAAGTATACAGGCACTTTGTGGCAGTGCAAAGATTAACATCTGGAGTTCTGAAGCCCAGTGCTGTGATCAGTCCACAAGATCTCATATCTTCTGCATCTTTTTCAAAATTAGAAGTAGTCCAAAAAAGGGGCAGGAATTTACTTACATGGTCTTAAAAATGATTGTTAATGATTTGTTTTTAATTTCATAACTTGAAATTTGAAAAATGTTAACAAGCCTTATAATTGTTTGAACAAAGGGAAGCACTGTGAAAAATTCCTTGGGATTTTTTTCTTTCCCCACCTCCAAATTTTGAAACGGTAATGAAAATTCAAGTTGAAGAAATTTCATCCTAGTGGAGATGAAGTAACGTGTCTGGATAATACCTCCGTTTCACAGAAACATCTGCTCTCTTGCTCTTTCAGCACTGTTTGTGGGTGATTTATCCTGATTTTTCTCTCTCTCTAAACTAGGAGATTGATGGCAATGCTTTGCTGTTGCTGAAAAGTGACATGATCATGAAATACCTGGGGCTGAAATTGGGACCAGCACTGAAACTTTGTTACCACATTGATAAACTCAAGCAAGCAAAATTCTGACATTTTCTTAATGACACAATCTGAATGAAATCTCCAAGAGAGCAGACTAAAGGTAATGTGTTGCCTTACAGAAATATGACCATTTGCTAATTGTTTTCCCCTCTTTTTTACAAAGGACTTTGTCTTTTTTAATACTTGTGCATCTTCAGCTTTTTTTATTCCAATGGGGTATTTTTGGGTATTTCTGTTAATGATTTTCCAAAAAGTATATAATTATAATACTTATTTTGTACCATTAGTATTGTTATTATGATTATAGTAAGTCCTATTTTTGTAATTTGACTTGAAAAATCAGAAACAAATACAGCTTTGGCATACATTCAGTATTGTTGAAAGGCTGAAGAAGAGTCACTTATTAGCTGCCTGTCAGCCTCTGGGGCATTGCTATCATCAGGGTTGTAGCTATACTGCAAAGCCAGCAACAACACTGACACAGCAGGCCTGGGAAAAAGTCCCAAGTTAATTTTCTTTGCTGGTCAGTTATTGTTGGGAACTGCCCCACGTCTTGCACTATCTGGAAAACTTGAACTCTTTTGTTTAAAAACATTTTTTGGAAGTTTAAGTACTTTGTCTTCCCACTAGAGGGAAAATCCTAATACATTTCAGGCTGTAGCTGTGATGACATGGTGGTTTGGTATGCTGGGGCCACCTTACATCTAACATGCGCACATTATGGAATTGCAGTGGTCAACCCTTCACCATTCATAGGTAATTAATTAAGAAAACAAACCAAAACACAGACAGTAATTTAGAAAGGATGCTCCTCATAAAATGTAAGGAAGAGTGGATAACTCCCAGTCTCTGGCATTCTCAACTGTCTGCTACCTTCCTAGAGCCATTCCTAGGTGGCACACACTTGTGGCACCCTTAAACAGGGATATGGTAGAAATATTCCCCGAAGCTGAAAACACAATGCTCATTGCAAATTTGCAGCACTGTTAGATTTAGAAAGAAGATATTCTATTTCCTGACTGAAGCTACTATTGTGGTAATCATGTTAACTTTCAGCACATATGCAAATGTGCTGGGCTTAAGGTCTTAAGTTTAAAATAATGTCCTTCTGCACCAAATAAAAACCAAAAAGATGATTTTCCACGGTCTATGTAGCCATGCCAAGAGAAGTATATTTTTGAAAAATTAGTAAGTAACTTATATGTTGGCTATGCCTACATGTTCTCATTTAAATTTGTGATTTATCAAAAACAGACATCAGTTATTCAGTTTAAACATTATTATCTTTAATGGGTATCCAGATTGTTTAGCAAGGATTTAGCTTCATGAGATATTAAGGCTTTATTATAGCCAGACTCAATCTAACTTTGATAGTAGTTTCCTGAACCTGTGTGTGACGGTGATCCAATCACACCACCCATTCTATTTGTACAGAAATTTTTTTTACCAAAAATACTTTGTAGAATAAAGCTCACTCTGCCAAAAGATACTAATTCAGGGCATGATCCTGAAAATACTTATGAATGTCAGTAACTTTACTCCTACAAGTAGCTTCATTGAACTCATAGGCTGTGTCCACACAAACGCACACTTGTGTTTTGCGGTGCCTCAAAGGCTTTTCATGGCTTTTCATGGCTACTCCCATGAAAAAAGTTACTTATAGACATGTATATAGGATTGGATATTCAAATGTCTGACCAGTTTTCAACAGAAAATTTGTTAGAATTGAAAACCTGAGCAACTGTGTTAAATAAAATTTCTGTAATACCATGAAACTTACTAAAATCTAAACTTAATCAGTTTTGGAACGTTACACCAATCTGCATCAGTTTACATGCATGTTGCAGAGACTGAAAGTCTACTCTGCCAGATGTTAGTTTGAGATGTAAATATCTTTGCACCAACATGAAGGTTGTACAGTTCATTGTTCACTGTTGTAGTTTTCAGGGTTGAGTCATTTTCCTGCAATATTTATTTAATCTACTCTAAATGCCAGAGCCTCAAAATGTGTAAGGTTCTTGAAATATCTGGAGTGTCATCCTCAGAAAATCTAAAGACAATCTAGCTTTCTTACATGTTCTTTGATATAACCCATCTCTGTTAAAAGGAACTCCTATTTTAATTCCTTAAATGCCCACCCTCATTGTAAAATACCTTGTTCCAGAGTGGAGTAAAACATTTCCAATAGTGTTTTTCCATTGAAAAGTACCTTTTTGTCAAAAGTAAAACTTCCTGTGAAAATATATTGCTAGCAATGACATTTTATTTTAAATTGAAACTAAGTGCTTGAATAGTGTCAAAACAGAATATTTCAGCATTTTAGAATGAAACATTTTGATTTTTTAAATTTCAGAACTAATTTGGCTTTTGAAATTAATTTTAGATCATCATTTTTAACAAAAAGGTGAAATTGAAGGAAAACATTTCAGATAGCTCAGATACTTTTTACAAAATGTTCATTTTGTGACAAATTTTGAAATTTGATGTCATCCTGAAAATACTTTTCCAAATTGCAGAATTTTTCCAAAACCAAATCTTTAATTCCTGCACAGCTCCAACCTGTAACACAGTTTCTCTCATGTTCTTTCATCTCCTTTAGTCATTCAAACTGAACAGCAATCAGAAGCCTAAAACAATCACAACACAATATTTATAAATTATTTAACAGCAGTGATATTTTTACATCTAATATGCTGAAAGAATTTCCATATGCTCTTGTATGAATTTTGTATATATAACCAGTGGTGCTGTTTTGTTTTATATTTAACTTTTAAGTATGACAGACTGTTGAAGCCATGATATTTAATGTTTTGTCCTCGGGGCTTTTTTAATGGATTTTATGGCATAAAGGTGTAGCATACAACAGGAATTCCTTATTGCGTGTTTTTAACTGAAAGGCAATTAGGAGTAAAAAATTATTGTGGCAATATTGCAATTAGAACTAATTTTTCCCTTTCAAGTCTTGTCAACAAGCATAGTTAAATAGGTCTGCCAGTGTAAAACGTGTCAGGCCATTTCCTCTGAACAAGCACTAAAAAGTCAGAACATGCATGTCATTCACTTCCAAATTAGATGCTATTTTAGATTGTGCATGTGCAAATTGCTTTGCTTGTTAGTCTGTTCATAGCTTTCACTTGAGAGTGTAGCCAATCAAGTTATGTATATTTCTGAACCATTCCAAAAAGGTGTGTGTATGTATCCATCAAAGCTGTTGTGTGCGTCCAGGTTTTGCGTGTATCTGTTGTCTTCCCTAAACGAATCATAACTGGATCAAAAGGCATTTCTATTTCTTCAAGCAATTTCAATATTTTATGAGGATTTCCTTTTGTAAAAACATTAGGCAAAATCCAAGGACATGTGAGAAAGCTGTGTGGGTTTTATAGCTATTGTAGTTCACCCAGACTTAGGATAGTAGATCTGTACCCTAACAACCCTGCTACTTGCTTTCTAAAATGGCTGGCCAGTTCAGCCTGTTCTGTTAACACAGATCATTTATGCTGCCTTCTCACTGGCTGCTGCTGCTGCCATGGCCTCATCTCCATGATTGACAAATGCCTGTGTCCAAGGCAAGAGCTAATTTAGCTTCATGAGTTGCCCCATGGGAATGCAGCGCAGTCAGCCTTCACCTGGACTGAGCTTGCTTTTGAACCTGAATCCCTCTTGCTTGGCAGTCTGGGGAGCTTCTACCTCTGCAGAGTTAACAGCCTCACTCAACATGACTGATGCAGGCAGTACCCTGGGGACTGGAAGTGCAAAGCATTACTTAGGGCCATATAGTGCCCTTAAACTATATACTGAATGCCTATAGCTAGTCAGCTGTCTTAAGGTGACACTGTCATTCCCCACCCCCCACTCTTTTACAGATGGAATGACTTGGAAAAATTTAAACAAACCATTACAAATTATAAAAACCATTAGGAAAAATATTGAATTTTTGGCATGATTAGAAACAGCAATAAAAGTAATATTTCGGTTAGCCAATGCCAGTAATGTGTAGGGAGCTTAAAAATGACTGTTAGGAAACAGGCTTATAGGTGTAGAGAGAAAAAGGTTGGAAACACTGGGCCTGATTCTCATTTTCACTGGTGCCCTTGTACATCTCTCTGGTGTAACTGCTCAAAGTACTCTTTATGATGTAAATGGGCCTTAGTGAAAATGACCCTTCCCCCTGAAAGGTGCTTGTTTCTTGGGATGGACCAATCTGGAAGATACTGCTGTGTCTGACTAGCTGAGTAGCTATGGTCGAACAGGAACAGTAAGAAGGGATATCGTTCTCCTGTGTAGGCAGAGCTGAACAGTCCCTGTTGGGGGCCATGCTGATCCTTAATTCACAAAGATACACTGAAGAACATGCTTTGCCTTTAAAATACAGCACAACCGTACTATATAGAGAAAAAAATAACAGAAAAAGTATTACTTCAAACCCTGCTTGTGCCACTGCCCTCACACTTCACAAAAACAGCAGTGAAGCCTCTCTAGAAGCCACGCATGCTATAGCTTTATCAGACTGTTTCCTGGCCCGTTAAGTGGAACACAGCACTTGTAGGCAGGAGGAGGCTCACTCTGCAACCCACCAAAGCATGTGTGTAACTGTTTGCATCAGTCTCATCAGGGTCTGGCAACCTGCTTACTTGCCCCTTGAGGCCTAACAACTGAGCGCACAGTTCAGTCATTAGTTAGCTCCACTCCTTCTGCCCCAAAAGATGGCGGAGGGTAAAAAATGAAGATTCACAGAATCTGCGAAGGAACATGAGCTGTACTGTCTCTGGGAAAGTGGAGGATGCTGGTGCATCTGGGCTGGGGAAGAGCTGGGGTCTGGATGAGCAAATAACGCTAGTCAGCGTTGAGTCTTCCTTGCTTCCGTTCTCTCTCACTAGTTGTGCTTCTGCTTTACCCCAGCTCCAACTCAATGGCAGGAGCAGTGGGTGGAGAGGCATGGATGCCAACAACAGAACAGATACCATAGTGGCCGCCCGGAAGCTGGGTGGAGCCACACCACGTCATTCCTGCAGCCCAGAAATCACAGGGATGCATGAGAACAAGCTGAATATGTGACTCCTCCTCATATTCTGCCATTAGAGCAACGAAGGCACCAGCCCTGGGTACTGACTTAGAGGACATGCCAGTATGGCTTCCTCCCTGTGGGCATCTTTGCCACAGCTGGCACAGCCCTGTGCAGCCCAGTCACAGGAACCAGGCAGGTGCTGCTTCATGCCCGGTACACCACTGGAGACAAAGTGAGGTGGAATAACACCCTCCCCCTGCCTGAAAAGCTTTGCCATGGGAGGCATAGCCCTGCACCTAAGGTTTGGGGGAGACCAGGGCACTATGAGTGTTCCCCGGAGAGATCATACTTCTGTCTGTCCCTTAGCAGCAGCAGCTGGAGCAGTAGCAAGCAGCTGCTGCCCAAGTATGGAGAGCTGGGGCAGGTAAGATTCCTCTCCCTCTCCCTCTCCCCTCCTTCTCCCCCCTTCCCCCTCCAGTGGTCAGAATAATTTCTACATACATCTCTTCTCCAGATCCTGAAAGAACTTGCTATGCCTCTGTTTTCCTCTGACTTTTGAGCCCACTGGAGTCATTAAAACAGAAATCCATTGATTTCAGTCAGCTTTACTGAGGCCTTCCATCAGGAGTATTACATTGAAAGTATCATCTGGTCCAACAACCCCTAAACCATCCCAGACAAAAGCCATCACAGCATCTCTTCTGGAAAACCTTCAGTTAAGGAGATTTCACAACTTCCCTAGCAGAGATGTAACTAGGATGTTTTGTACCCTGGGAGAGAGTGGCCATGACAGCAAGCAGGGCAGCATCACCAGTGGCTGCTACTCATGCGTCCCCTCTAAACTGGTGTTGGCCTGGTGCCCTTTTTTGTGAGCCCTGACTTAGAATACTGTTCCCTACATGATCTGTTCCGCCATCCTACTGTTTTATGGTCCAGACATTTTCTTGAAATTTGCTCTAAATATGCTTTCCCACAGTTTAAATCCATTTCCTCATGTCCTGCCTTCTATGACAAGGGAAAAGAATATTTTGCTGTCTTTTTTATGGCAGCTTTTCAAGTAGTTGAAAACTGCTACCATGTCCCCCCTGCTTAATTGCCTTGTCTTCAAACTAAATGCACCTAATTCCTACCATTTCTCCTCATGTGGCTTGCTTTCCAAACCCTGTAACTCCACTGAAGCCAGTACTTACACTGGTGTAAAAGCAGCATAAGCAAGAGGAGATTCACACCCACTGCTCCAATCCAGAGAACTACCCTGTGCTCTTTGAGTCACATGTTATATTCTGTATATCAAACTGTTTTCTACATATGGATTTTCTCTGTTTCTAGCCAACTCACCCCTTAGGGTTAGCATTACAAGTGAGCACTCTGCTGGTATATGCTTTTTCCACATCAATGGACTTGGGGCTGTTAGGAAAGTAACTTGCAGATTAAATGTGAGAGCCAAATGGGCAAGAACAGCTTCACAGCAGAGACAATGTCCTTTTCCAAAAGGAAACTTGGTAAGACAGCTCCAGTGTGCAACACAGAAACACATGAAGTGTTATATGTTTTACAACACGTAATTAGATCAAATGAAGGTACATGGATTTTGTTATTCCTACACAAAAAATGCTGTCTTAAGCCTGAGTCCGTGAATCTTCACAAATCACCATGCACATTGCTTCTGATTCCTTGCAATAGTTATATGATGCTTCCTAATCCACACTCCTTTCATGGACAATTGGAAACTGATTCTCTTGGAAATCTAAAAATTTTCCTTGAGAAGGAATCACTTTTATTCATTGCCATGAGTTAAATATTATGGAAACATGTCTGCTAACAATTTGCTTTGTGTAATTTGTACTAATGCTAATAAGCAACAGCTGTGATGCTTCCTGTTGTAAATTCTTTTGTGGTTGCAGTGGTATTATCACATATGTACTTCACAAATATGATTGACTCAAGCAGAACTTTCATTCTGGCACCAGTTTCAGCAGATTCCCCTGACTCAGAATTAAAACTATGCAAATCTGCATTTAGAGGATGTGTCTTGCTTTGTTCCCAGTCTCTGGGCTCCCCACCAGGTGCTTGGATCTGAACTGATGAACGTGTTTATGTGATACTGGAGATCAGTCACTGCACGTGCAGCATTTTAGATAGGATTGCTTTCAGAAATATGAGTAATGATCCACTGCAATTTAAGCAATGGGCTTTTGGTCAGAGAAATAAGGTTTGCTTAAAAACGAAATGCTATAATGAAATGCACTGTCATCATGAGATTCAGA